TAATGACTAACTATATTTTCTGTCTAAGAAAGTGGTCTAAGAAAACCAAACAGCAGAGTGATGTGGCTGCAGTTAAAACACTGCTGCTGCTAATATCTTTGAATCACAAAAGCATTTCTTTCAGTTTCCTTATTTAAAAATAGGTTTTTTCTGCCCAGCTGTGTTTCAGCAATGTTATAAGCATTAGCAAATGTTTATATTTAAGCTTTGAAAATGTCCTATGAAAGTTTCTGTTTATAATAATCCCTGTAATAGAACCTGACATCTCCCCTGAAGAATGCAAATCATGCTCTTTGGCATTGATCCCAATGTATATAAACATGTATACATTCTCCTATTCCTGAACACCACACTTGTATGTTCATGGCACTTTGTGTTGCTGTGGCCATTCAGCATAGTCCAGCCGTAAGTCTAACCATGTCTTTCTCTTGGAACTTAGCTGGAGTTTGGCGTTGGAAAAGTGCAGATGAACTTCCTTCATTTACTGAGCTCAGAAGCAACCCACAGCATCACAGTTCATTGTCTGAACACACCACTGTGGGGATTAAATAAAGCAGGTGGCCGGAAGACATCAGTTACCTTCAAAGGATGGAATGGTCAAATATTTAAAGCAAATACACTACTTGAACCAAAGGTCCTTATGGATGAATGCATGGTAAATAGTTTTTAGCATTAGCATTATTAAAACAGTACTGGAGTTACTGGTATACACTGTACTCGATGGTTTTTAAGAATGGATTGATTGCAACCATCAAGGCACTCCCAGCCTCAGACACTGTTATAATACTATTTTATAATTATTATGAGGTATCAATTTTTACTGAGATTTTTTTTAAGGATTAGAGTAAACAATACAAAGCTCATAGCAAAAATGCATCTCTGATTCCCATGTTTATTTTTCAAGGGCCTACAGAGTCATTCAAGTGCCTGTAGAGTTGATAACCTGACACCTGCTGTTCAGATTTGGGGGTGAATTTAGAATCTATATGAGTCACTTTGCTTGCAAAGGTGTTCTGCTCTGAGACATCTTGCAGTATGTCTGCATCCACTCAAACTGGATTCTGGGCTCAGCTGTTTTCTGGTTTCAGCTTTGCCCAGAGTGCCCATGGTATTGCAAGGGAGAAATGGCATTTGCTAGATTAGATTCTATAGGAATTAGTTTCTATAGGAATTACTAGAAGAAAAAATGTTTCTGTGCACCACTACTCTTCCTCTCTATAAGCACAATTTTCATTTGTGTTTCGAAGGACATCTTTTATATGAATCTAATATTCTTCTTCTGTGTGTTGCAGATTGAAGATGGCAACTGGCGTAAGACACAGTTCTTTTTTCACACTCAGGACACTAGTCAGCTTCCAGTGGTTCAAGTTAATGCACTTCCTCACCTCAAACCAGGACAGCAGCACTTCGTAGAAAGTGGTTCAGTGTGCTTCCTTTAAGGTTTCTGTCCTGTTTTTCTTTCATCAACATGGAGGTTCTGCATAGATTGAATGCAAAAGTAATGATCCATTACAGGCAAAATGACTAGGAAACTAAGAATCATTTAAAATACTGTTGGTTAAAGAACCTCAGGAAGAAAAAGACTTCCTCCTTAGGAGAAATAGCATTGAAAAATAAAAGAAAGAGAGAAAAGACTGCAACAATTTTCTTAAAGTATTTAAAAATAAATTTCTTGGTGCTTTCTTGCATAATTTCCTGGAATGGAGTATCTGAACATGGATTTTTCAGGACGTCAAGTGTTCTTAACAATTTCTTTAACACCACTGCAAAAAAATCATCCTGAGAAAAGCTGGAGGCATATGATCCTAAGGGAGCAATATCTGCTAATGCTCCTGAATGTGCAATAGCTTATATATGAAAAGTGAGTCATGCCACAGTACAGTACAATATGTCTTCTTTTCTTAAACGTTGTTTTATTCTAGTCCTTTGTGGACACATACATCTGAACAGATGGCACACTACCTCTTTTGTGTTTCCTGTCCGTGTTGCCTTGGTGCTTTTCATAACACAAGGTGCTTGTGGCCTTAGCAGAGATTATTTGAGTCCCTTTTCTTTCAGACTGTATGTGCTGGTTACATCAGGATATGTTTCTGTTGTAAAGGTACTTATTTTAAATTGTCGGTCACATACTTCACTACAATGAAAACATTATTTATGTGGATTTCTTGTTTAAAATATTTTTGTGTACTATTTTGGAAAATGGTATATAGGACAGCATATTGTATATGATGCATATATTCAGAACAGTTTACTTTACAGCCATTGTAAAAATTCTTGTAGAAGAGCTACCTAAAGTAGTTTTGAGTTTTAGAGTCTGTATTTCAGTTAACATTGCTAATGCCAAAGCCATCTTCAGATGATACATTCTGTATATATTTTGTAACTTCTGAAAAAATCTACTACAGCATATCTTTTGGATGGCTGCTGTTAAACTACAAACAGCATTTCATCCTCTTAGAAATTCCATTTTTTTGCGAAGCTATCAGATCATTTTGGTTTTTTTTAATTAATTCTAAAATGTTCAACCAAATTTTTTTAGTAAAAAAGAACAATTTTACCATTAGCAAAAGCACTCTTTATATTGATATGCCTCTACCTATTATCAATTCAAAGCGTACTCAGGAGTACATGGCAGGGTGATGCCAGACTGTAGCGGGGAGCAGGGGAGTGTTCGAATAACTTGTCTGCTTGATCTTCAGGAAACCACGCTTACCAAAGTATAATAAAATAAGCTTCCAAGCTATCTGTTTGTCTTTTACTATTCTGTTTCGTATCGCGTAGGTCATTTTTAGCAAGGATGAAAATCCTCTGAAAGGGCACTTCTGTTAGGTGGCAGTACTTGTCTTCCCAAGGGGAAACGCATATTCTCTATGCCATGGCATACTACCAGGGGGACAGTGTCTGCTCTTACAAGGTAACATGCATGTACATCCCATTTAACATTTTGTATTGAAGCATCAGTTTTGACCACTTTGAGAAAATCTGTTGAAACCAAAGACAAAACAAGATCACAGAGTGATGATAAAGGTTAGAGAAACTGTCTAACTTTTTGCATTTTCAAGATCAAAACAGTGACATTAGGACTCGACATTTGCTGTTAGTTTGGCTTTGGAGCTGATGTTGTGACAAATGTTTGGGGTGGTTTTTTATTATTATAATCTTTTGGAAAATGTTCAGCTTCATGTATATTTTTATTCCTCTCACTGTACTATTTTT